GGCTGGTGGGTTTGAACCGCCAGCCCTCTGGTTAGCAGGCAAGTGTCTTAGCCACTATGCTACCAGAGCTCCCTCACATTGAAATAGGAAACCCTAATACAGGAGGGAGAGTATTGAGGGGAGGAGGGGGAGTTGATGTTAGAGATAATGGAGTGGCACAGCTGTTTGGAAAAACTGGACATTTGGGACATCTTTAACCTCTGCTTCATAGGGACCAGCCTTGTGCTGATCCTTCTAAAAGAAATTATTCCAGCATCTAGGCTAGTCTATTCTCTGGAGAAGGATGTCATGCTTGGTAAACTGGAGGGTCATCAAAAAAGGGAAGGCCCTCAAGATTGACACAGTGGCTGCAGCGATGAGCTCAGGTATAGTAGGGATCATGAGACTGGCACAGAACTGGGCAGTGTTTTGTTCTGCTGTGCATAGGGTCGCTATGAGTCAGAGATGACTTGACTGCACATAACAACAATAGTAACAGGCTAGTCTTGCTTACAGTCACTGAAATGGGAGACAGTACCAAGGGATGAAATGCACCTCCTCACAAATGCTTGACTCAGATGAAACAGTTACTTTCTGCTCCCTTTGCAGGCAGCTTTGGGCCTTTGCCCTCTGCTAGGTGTATGCTTCTAGTTAATTCTGTATGCCTATATACATACTAAGGAGCGGCAACACAGTGCCTAAGGCATCTGAGAAGGTTGGTGGTTCAAACCCACAAGCCACTCTGTGGAAGGAAGACTGGGCAATTTACTTCATAAAGATTTACTGCCTTGGAAACCCAATGGGGGGTCGCTATGAGTTGGAATCGACTCAATGATTATAAACCTACTGGGAAAGACATCAGGAAAGGGGACAGAAATAAAAAGGAAAAGCTCACAATCCCTGTCTTCTAAGGAACTCTGTCTTCTATCTACTGAGGAAGAAAGATAAGCAAACCAAAACATAAGCCTTCGTGAATTACGTGATTAATAGAAATACAAGTAATAAAATGTACTAGAGGACACACAACCCAAAAACCAACTGCCATCAAGTCAATTCCGACTCATAGACCCCCATCAGGTTTCCAAGGCAGTAAATCTTTATGGAAGTAGATTGCTCCATCCTCCTTTCACGGAGTGACTGGTGGCTTTGAACCAGCAACCTTCTGGTTAGCAAATGCCTTAGGCACTGCACAATCAATTTTGACTCCATAGAAGATTGCCATCTGAGCTGGGCCTGTAAAATCTGTAATTCTATAAGCAAAAAAGTGGCATATTTTATTGTTTTTTAAAAACTGTTTGTCATGGGTATATGGATGGATAGATAGGTGGACAGGCTAAACGATTAGGTAT